ATTGTTCATATACTTTGTAATAAAAATGCATTTCAACACAGAATAAATAAATATATATATATATACATATATATATATATATATTGAATATGGCCAAAATTGTAGCATTTCAAATATATGTCAATATATTTGGGAAGAATATTTAAAAAATATATTTCAAATATATTTTTTTTCCATGTGGGTACTCCATATGTATTCTTACCTAAATCTTGGTGGGCTTTGTGTTTTTCTACCACAGCTGTGCTGTAATTCAGTGTAAAACGTTACCTCTGTGTAGGCGCTTCCTGTAATAAAGACCAGTCACTGCTGCTGTTTCTCCTTGTGCAGGATGACTGGTCTTGTATCCACCCTCCCCTGTATGGTTTTTGCATTCAGCCAGTAGTGGGATGGCTGGACAGACTACTGTGCAGTCCAATGATTGTGTCACTACTAGAGATGTAAAATCTCCATGAAATTTGAAGCCATGGGAAGAAAACATTTTTTTCCCTTTTTTTTTCTGGAAAAAAATTTAAATTTTGGAAAATGTTTTAAAAAATTCAGTGTTGAGTAGTTTTAGAAATTTGAAAGTCATTTTGTTACACTGAGATGGTGAAATGCAGTGTGTGTAACAGTATTACATTTTAAATAAATGTACAGCTTATTCAGTAAATAAACTAAATGTGCTTTTTAAATGTTTATTTTTTTAAGACTGTGTATGTCACCACCCACTTTCCATCATAATAATGTAAAGGCTTCCTGCCAATATGCATTTTCAGCTATTGATAATGCTGATCCAGAAGCATATATTGCTCTGCAGGAGGTTGATTAAGCTCCTGATTTTCAGGTGTCATTTTATCTATAAATTATGGGATTATGTATTTTTGTGAGGTAGTGATTTGCAACACTTCCTTCCTTGAAGATGCTGCTGGTGAAGAAACACTTTGTGATGATCCAGAAACAGCAGGAAGAGTGTTTCTGGACTGACAATGTGGTCATCATCGTCAGGGGCGGACTGACAACTCATGGGGCCCCCGGGCAATAGGGGATCATGGGGCTCCTGTGTCCTTGCCCAAACTCAAAAAAGCCTATAAAAATGGTACCAGGGGCATCTCACAGGGCCCCCTACTGACCCCGGGCCCTCGGGCAGTACCAGGGGCCCCATGAGTTGTCAGTCCACCCCTGGAAAGACACATCTGTGGTGTGTGACAGAATGATCCCAAAAACTCTCCTGTGCATCTGACAGTCAGCTCTTCTAGGATGTAGATTTCAGACAATCAGGGCTAATGATACAGTACTAGATTCTTATCTTTTTGGACACACTAATTTTTTTATGTTTACTATCTCCCTGGTGGGGCCCCCTCCCACCCCTGGATCCCATAGCAGCTGTGTTGGCTGCTTTGGCTGTAGTTACGCTATTGCCTCTGCACAGTTTATAAAAATAAATGTGTCAGAATGTGTAATCTGACATTGAAATGATCCAGTTTGAAATTTTTATGAATTAGACATGGACTTCAATATAACATGGTAGAAATAATTATGCCTCAGTGGAGCATATATACCAGTGTCTTTTTAGCCATTATTACTATTTGTATTCATTATTTAGAACTGACATATTCTGTAGTGCTGTACAGGGAAACTCTAAACTATTCTCAACAGTCTGTGCTGCCAAGGAGCTTACAATTAAGCCCTCATCACATCCATATACATTTTTTATAACAAATATATAGCTCTGATTTTTTCTGTAAAGTTGTACGGAGAATACTGGACCATTCACATCTGTCTCTACACCTGGGAAGCTTAAGCTCTAATGACATTATCAATATCAGAAACAACATTATCATACCTTATATATAGTACATTGCAGATCTAACATATCCCACACATTCACAACTCCCCAGGAGCTTTCATTTTACTGTTTCCACATACACAATAATAATATACTAGTACTAAATTATAGAAATATGGTATATTCCCCATATATTTCTGAATTGAAGACAATGGATAGCAGAACAAATTTATTTATTTAATTTATTTCAGGTACTTATATAGTGCCGTCAATTTACGCAGTACTTTACAAATATATTGTACATTCACATCGGTCCCTAACCCTCAAGGGGCGTGCAATCTAAGGTCCCTAACTTACATTCATACATACACATAATAGGGACAATTTAGACAGGAGCCAATTAACCTACCAGCATGTCTTTGAACTGTGGGAGGAAACCGGAGTACCCAGAGGAAACCCACGCAGGCACAGGGAGAAACTCCAGGCAGGTGGTGCCGTGGTCGGGATTTGAAACCAGCAACCTTAGTACTGCCAGGCGGAAGTGCTAACCATTTAGCCACTGTGCTGCCCAAATAAAGAGAAGGATTCTCCCCAATGAGGACACAGTCCCCTGAAGATTTTAACACACCTCAACTCTACCCAAAACTAACATAAAAGGTTTTTCGCTGTTCATACACCTTAAGGGGTCTATTTTTAGAAAATTCACTTTAGAAACATCTTAGCAGTCATGCAAACATAATAAATAATAGCAGTAATGTTAGTAATATGTGTATAATAGTTTCCTTGTTGCCCTTGTTAACATTAGGTCTTAGGAGATAAATACCTTTAAGAAAATTCAACCGACAGGAAATAATGGCGAGAAATAATGTGAAGGGCATTTCTGCACTGTGTACCGTCTATGGAGAATCCTGTGTGAATAGCCGAATGAATAGATGTTCAGCTGAACAAATCTCTAGCTGAGTGAAATGAAACATTTAGTAGTTGTATTATTGCCAATGTAACAGCTTTCTCCTGGTTGTTAACAGTGTTTCATCCTTGCTGGGCACAAATTTCACACCAGACCCATAAGGTCTGTTATGAATGTTAAGAGGAAACTCCATGAGAAAAAAAATCATGTCCCACCCCCACCACCAATTCCAAAACAGACCCTGGGAATCTGGTATGGATTTTAAAGGAGAACCTCACACAAAAAATCTTGAGCCCCCCAAAATCCAAACTTTCCCTGAACTATAACAATCCACATGCCCTTAACATGGGGGGTACCTTGCCAGGGGAGGCCCCTGGAAAACCACCTTGAACCCATGTTGATGAGGACAAGGGCCTCTTCCCCACAACCCTGGCCCAGTGGTTGTGGGGGTGTAAGGTTGTGTGTATAGGGGGCTTATCAGTATCTGAAATCCTCCTTTAAAAAAAGGGGGATCCTAGATACAGTCCCCCCAGGCAAAGCCCTCCAGCCCACCTATCCACAAAAAAGTCAATGGTAAAAAAAAGGGCGAGCTAGCGCCCCTCCCCTCCTCCTGAACAATACAAGGCCACATTCCCTCAACATGGGGAAGGCTGCTTTGAGGCAGGGGGATCTGGTATACATTGGGGGGACCCCACGCCATTTAAAAAAAAAATTAAATGTCATTATTGTTTGTTTATACTCTGCTTGGTAGCGGTAATCCCACCGACAGCAGATGAGTCATGGTTGTGAAAGTTTCATCCAAATTTTAATTCGGTTTCAGAATTTCAGTGAGGACAAGGACCTCTTCCCCACAACCCAGGCCCAGTGGTTGTGGGGTTGTGTGTGTGTGTAGAGGGGGGGAGCTTATCAGAATCTGAAATCCTCCTTTAAAAATAATGAGATCCCTAGATACAATCCCCCCATGTGAACACGCCCCACTCCACCCATTCACAAAAAAGTCAATGTTAAAAAATAGACACATACTTGTTGATAAGTCCTCTAATTAAAGTCTTACCTTGTAAGTCCACTGTCAGTCAAGTAGTCCAGAGATGCAGATCCACATCAATCACCTCTCGTCCCACTGAAAGAAATACAGACTTGCCACCCATGGATAAATCCCAACCAGTTGCTTGACTCCAACTGAATGTTACCTCCCAGTCCCTATACAAGCAAAGGAGTGGGGATTTTAGGAGACATAATTGTCTATATAAGGACATGACAATATTTGGTGAATGACCATATGGAGTTAATTTAGGCAAACATACGGTCCACTTTTCAAGGCCAGACGCTCCAGAGCTAAGTAAATGAGGGGAAGCTCTGTTGACTTCCAACAACTAGTCATGTGCAAGCAGAAATGCTGTTTTTTTTTTTTCCTTGCATTTGATTGGGTATATTTTGCACAGTAAAGCTTAACCTCAATTACTAATCTCTGGAACAATTGCACTTGCAGAGTGCACAGTCTATTTACCTTTAGTAAATAAACCCCTCTGGGTCTAGTAGGGATTATGGAGGGACATACCATTTTTTATCTTCATTTTTGTCTGAAGTTCCCCCTTAAATTACAATATATTGCCGAAAGTATTGGAACGCCTGTCTTTACACACACATGAACTTTAATGACATTTCAGTCTGTAGGGTTCAATATTGAGTTGGCCCACCCTTTGTAGCTATAACAGCTTTAACTCTTCTGGGAAGGCTGTCCACAAGGTTTAGAAGTGAGTTATTCAAGTTCCTCCGCCCCAAATTCGCTCATCCATGTCTTTATGGACATTGCTTTGTGCACTGGTACGCAGTTATGTTGGGGCCATCCCCAAAATGTTCCCACAAAGTTGGGAGCATGAAGTTGTTCAAAATGTCTTGGCATTCTGACGCCTTAAGATTCCCTTCACTGGAACACTCCCTGAAAAACAACCCCACACCATAATCCCTCCACCAGCAAACTTTACACTTGGCTACTTGGGCCAACCCCAGACACATTCATGGGATTGCCAGACACAGGGAAGCATGATTCATCATTTCAGAGAACACATCTTCACTGCTCTAGAGTCCAGTGGCAGCGTGCTTCACACCACTGCATCCGAAGCTTTGCATTGCACTTGGCGATGTAAGGCTGGGATGCAGCTGCTCGGCCACAGAAACCCATTCCATGAAGCTCTCTACGCCTTGTTGTTGTGCTAATCTGAAGACCACACCAAACTTGCAGGTCTTTAGCCCTGGACTCTACAGACAGTTGGCGACTTCTGCGCACTGTATGCTTTAGCATGCACTGGCCCCACTCTGTAATTTTATGTGGCCTACCACTTCATGGCTGAGTTGCTGTTGTTCCCAGTTGCTCCTACTTTGTTATAATACCGCTAACAGTTGACCATGGAATATTTAGTAGCAAGGAAATTTCATGGATGGACTTATTGCATAGGTGGCAACCTATCACGGTACCACACTTGAATTCACTGAGCTCCTGAGAGCGACCCATTCTTTCACAAATGTTTTTAGAAGCAGTCTGCATTCCTAGGTGCTTGATTTTATACACCTGTGGTCATGGAGGTGATTGTAACACCTGAATCCAATGATTTGGAAGGGTGTCCCAATACTTTTGGCAATATAATGTACATATCTCCAGTCACCTGTCAGTCGGGAAACCAAGGCTGACAGATAAATGTGCCCATTGGGGATGAGTCACTGGTTGTTAGGACTCTGGCGTATACAGCTGTCACATCTGGCAATGGTAACAATATCACTGCTAAATGTTTTACTCCACATTCCAGGTGGAGGTTCGTTTGGCCAAAAAAACTATTTTCCCCCTGCTGGTGGAATGTTGTTATTCTATAGTGTTAGGCTATGTTCTCTCCTGGTGAATGTTACATCTCATGTCCAATTTCGTTTCATTGCATTCGTAATGCAATTTGTTTTGTTTATTCATTATTCAACATTTTTCCAGTGAATTTGAAGCATTTGAATAGAATTTGATTTGAAAATATCGAATCCATTCAAATTCATTATGAAAAATAGCTTGTTGTTAAGGAGCAGGGTTGCCAGCCAGTCGCAGCATCCTTAGCAACCATGACAGCAGATCCCGCTGATAGCAGAATGTAAACAAACAAAAGTGACATTAATAATTAAAAAAAAACAAAGTGCCCCCCAAAATCCATACCAGACCCTTATCTGAGCAGGCAGACCGGCAGATCAGAAAGAGAGGGGGGGAAAGTGAGCCCCCCCCCCTCCTCCTGAACCATACAAGGCTACGTGCCCTCAACATGAGGAGGGGGGGGTTGGAGTGGGGGGGGGTCTGGTAGGGATTAGGGGGGACCCCACTACATTTTTTTAAAAAGCTTTTAAATGTCACCATAGTTTGTTTACACTCTGCTGACAGCAGGAATCCCACTGACAGCAGATGAGTCATGGTTGTGAAAATTTCATCCAAATTTCAATTCTGAATGAAATTAACTGCACATGTTTAAAGCAATTGTTTTATGAATGGACCTCTAAGTGTAAACATAAACTCCAAAGAACAAAAAGGTATACCACTCAGGCAAACAATCCAGATCAATCCACAACAGGTGCAGGCTCTGGCTCTCCACCACACATGATGCAATAGGAAGAAGGGTCAGCCGCACACCGGAGGATAGATGAATATAGGTCCTGTATTCCTGTATTCATGTCCTGGTGTTTTGTGTGTCCTATGGATCAATAAATACACACTATATTCATCTATCTTCTGGTGTGCGGCTGACCCTTCTTCCTATTGTAAACATGGACTATAAGCCCTTAGTAAAACACCAATGAACTTCGGAGATTTTATTTAGGAGCTCCCGAAATAAACTCAAATACTTAGGGGTTGATTCACTAAAGGCAAATAGACTGTTCACTTTATCACTTTGCAACAAAACTAGTTCCAAAACTTAGTGAATAAGGTGAAGCCCTGCTGACTTCCATCATCCAATTATGTGCAAACAAAACCCTTTTTTTCTTTTCCTGCATGAAACTTCGCCACACTCACTAAGCTCAAAGGAAAATGTATCTTACAGAGTGCAAAATCACTTGCAAAAAGTGACTGTCTATTTGCCTTTAGTAAATCAACCCCATACACTCTAAATCTTTTATCTACCTATCTATCTATCTATCTATCTATCTGAAAATATTAATAAATTCAGTGGTGTCACCTACTAGTAGGGTGTGCCTGCTTTCACAACAGTAAGGTGAGATGTTGTAGAAAGTGGATATCTGAATTGTCACCTCTGATTCACAAGCATATCAATCAGCACTTGGTCACCCCTGACCCTGCTCTGCTTCCTAGACTGACTGCTGCTGGCGTTCTCTCACTATGGGCTGCAATGTCTAGTAGTAGGGGGTATGAGACAGGAGGATCTGGCAGAGGAAGTTACAGATAGTTTTTTCCTTATGAGGAATGTGCATCACAGGATTTGAGATTTGTTTAGACTGGGCCTTTAGATTATTTGTGCCTAGCCACGAAGACCCAAATTAGAATGGGTATAAAGGAGTTAAGATGCTTTAAATAAACTCAGTGATCATAATACTGAATAATATTTTTTACTGGCACAAGGTTCCTGCCACTCAGTTAATCAGTATATTTCAAAGAGGCTTTTCCTGAATGGTCACACTACTTAAGCACTGTATGTTTCCATGCTAATTACTATGTTAATAAGGCCTTCAGACTGCATTTAATTATCAAAATTGAACATGAATCATCAGCTAATCAGAGGAATCATATCCCTGTGCTTCTGAATATGTAGACTAACCAACATAGTTTGACTGTTTAATTAAAATGTTTAAACAGGAAGTACTTTGGTGGTTTGCACGGTTATTAAAGGATATGTAGAGTAATTTCATATATGTTTTCTTTATTTATTATGGACAGGACTAAAAACTTAAAAAAATTATATATTTTTAGTAAGATAAATATGAAATATTACATAAGACTATATTGTATTGCCATACTCAGCCAGCTGGTGGACCTATTTGCTTCCTGTCACATGCTTTCTAGTTTCTCTTTTCCCCCTACTGAAAAAATACTGTTACACAGTTCATTAGCTCAAAGTGAAAATCATCCACAGAAGTGAGTACTTACAAATAACCAACATAAAAGGATCTCTTTAAAAAAAAAAAAAAATATATATATATATATATATATATATATATATATATATATACTATTATTCACATACTTTTCTTATTGGATTCAATAGGAAAAATGTGCAAATACCTAATGAAAGTTGTGTAAATCTTGTGTGACAGCATTTATGAATAGACCCCTATTAATATTTTTCATGCAATAACATTTTTGTTCATCATCCTTGTAATATGCTCAGAAGATAATTATTTTTAATTATTAAAATAATTTGGCCCTGTTAAATTGGAAAAATATGACTGTTCGTGCATTCCAATGCAATTATAATGTAATAATTATTGCAAATACTGTAATTCAAGGACATGTATTTTCTTTTTATGTTGTTCAGGTATATACACAAATGTACTAGTAATCTCGGATCTTGATGTTAATAAATGTGTCGGCTTTTATAATATATCCCTTGTTTATCTTTATATTATATGCTATGTAGGCAGTTCTTTCTATACATCAAAAACAATGAATGTAATGAGTGTGCTGGAAAATGTCCAAGTGTATCTCCACTTTTGCAATGGAAATTGAGAAAACACCATGATATGTTTGCTATGTGTTCCCATTCAGACAGCATACCTACAAAATAGGAGAAGGTGTCATGGTGGACTGCTAGCATTTCTCAAAAAGTTTAAAGTGATCTGTCCCAATAGAAACACTATGGACTGACTAATTTGAGATTGCATACAATGCATTTTGTATGTGTATTAAATGCATTTAATAACATGCCTTTGATTTACATACAATGCAGGAGGCAAGCTTTGTCAGGTCAGTGTTCAAATCTAATTCACAACTAATAAGATTTGCTTGCCAAAGTACAGACATGGTTAATTATGGCAAATATGGCTCTCCTGCCCCGTTGTGAGCAAAGAAAACTAAGTAGGATTTTTTAGTGCTGGAGTTTCCAGGAAAGAGCACCTAAAAAATGTAAGTTGCAATTTTTAAAAATGTTTTATAAATTTGTGCTTATGGGACATGTAACAAATATAAAGTAGGTGTTATCCCAATTTGACATCAAAAGTTTGAAATACATTTTAATAAAAAAAAGTAAATGGATAGCACAAATGAATGGGAAAGATGTGAGTGTCACTGAGCAAAACTATCCTATGTAAGTGAACCATTTTAATAGCTTTTTAAAAGTCTATATGAATACATTCCTGACTAGTTGCAGTACACACAAACAGTATACTTTTTAATAACAAATGTTGTACCATTTTAACTTGAAAAACAGACCTTAAGGGGATGATTTACTAAAACTAGAGAGTTTTGCATGGTAGCCAGTCAGCTTTTGACCAGCTTGTTCAATTTAGCTTTGACAAAAAAAACCCTAAAAGCTGGTTGGTTTCTATGCAGAGCTGCACCAGATTTTGCGCTCTTTAGTTTTAGTGAGTCAACCCTAAACTCCAGTCAAGTGACTTTGCCTAGGCTGAGATAAGGCTGATTAGTTTCCTCTCCCCCAGCAGTACTGCAACACTGTAACTTTGGTGCAAGTCATGAGATGAAAGTTTGCAGAAGGGTGCCAAGACAAGCACAGGCACCATAATTTGTATGACATCTCTGAGCCAGCATCTTAGCCCAGGAAGTAGATGGTGACCTTAAATAATGCCAAAACAAAGCTGGCTCTATCCGTTTGTAAAGAAAAGCAGATGAAGGCATTATCATGGGAAGTGCCCTGGTTTCTGAGAAGTAATAAATACCTTTAAGTGTTATTATTATAGGTGTTTATACACTAATTCACCATAACATTATGACCACCCAGCTAATATTGAGTAGTTCCTCATTTTGCCACCAAAACAGCCCTGGCCTGATGCTGCATGGATGCCATTAGACCTTAGAAGGTATGCTGTGGTATCTGGCACCAAGCCACCAGTAGCAGATCCTTTAAGTCTGTACATTCTGAGATGGGGCCTCCATGGATCAGACTTCTTTTTCCAGCACAAAAACACCTAATGGATTAAGATCTGGAGAATTTGGAGTCCAAGTCAATGCCTTGAACCTGTTGTTGTGTTCCTCAAACCATTCTTACACCATTTTTGTAATGTGGCAGGGTGCATTATCCTACTGAAAGAGGCCACTGTCATCAGGGGATACAGGGGATCGCACAAGTTCCTACCCACTTGACGCCTGCAATCTAAATTCCCTATCTCACATGCTTAAAGCGGAGTTCCACTCACCCTGTCAAAAAATAAAAGTCAGCAGCTATAAAAACTGTAGCTGCTGACTTTTATAAAACAGCTACTTACCTGTCACTTTGTCCTGCGGTGTGTGTCCCCCGCAGCCCGTTTCAGCGGCTGTCCTGTATTTCAGGAGGCCGGCTTCTTCAGCGTGAGCACCCAGCTGTGACAGTTTGCGGCTTCACAGCTGGGTACCCACTGCGCATGTGCGAGTAGCGCTGCACTTCATGAATGGTCCTGTAGTCTTCTGGGACCTGTCCCAAAAGACTACAGGGAGGG